ACTACCTCAAAACAAAAAAGAAAAAAAAGAATTCTCATGAATAACCTCGGTGCCCACCACCCATACTGCGTGGGTGATTATACAAAGGAAATCCTTTATTCACTTGGGACGTGATCCACACAAACACACACACTTGCATACACATTCGCATATTTACTGAATATTTTAATATACACAATCTTAGAACAATAATAAATTTAATATTAGTATTTTATAATGATATTAGTAATATGCTAGAATAAAGAACCTAATATTATTATTAATAAGTCGTACTGACTTCTATTACTAATAGATTTTAAAGATAATGTGTAATATTAATGGGAAATGATCGTATGCAGCCCTTTCACATGGATGGCCTTGTGCGATCCAACAAATTGTCCGTTGGATCAGGGCTCTCCTCAAGATATGGGTCGCGGGACTTGATAAACAAGTCACTTGGTGGAATGACCTAGAAATCCCTTTTTCTTTCTATTTTCTAATGGTTACCCACTTGACCCACAGAGAGAAGAAGAGAGAGAAAGGGCTTGAACTGGGAAATAGAGGAGGAAAACCGGAAGAAAAAAAGTGAAAAAGGATGAGAAAAAACAGAGATGGAAATCTAAGTAGCGAGTCTCGTATTTTTGTGAAGGGTTTATAGAAACAAGGATTTCAAAACTAGGGTTTTTGTGTAGTTGAGTCATCAAAATTGGTGCTCTTAAATGATATTAACTTGCTCCACCCTCCAGCAGAATTGGAGTGAGGAAACACAAACTCAAGAACCTTGTTTAATCTCCCCATTCCTTTCTCATGGATGTTAAATGCCAAGTTGCATGAATTTCCATTTTATGTTGTGTTCTATTATCTCTTACCAGTCATCCTTTCACTATGAGAGGACTGTGATTTTGAATTTCCATTTTATGTTGTATTCTATTATCTGTAATGGCTAATGTTTTTCTAGCAATTTCTTGTACCACTTTTTCAAAAATAAAAGGACAAGTTCGATTAATTAAACTTAAATTAATAAGAACACAAGTTCCATTGATAAACCTTGACTGTGGAGATAGATTTTTAGAGTATAAATTCGATAAATTGTGACTTATGACCATCAATTTGGAGCTTTAATATGTGATTTTGCATTATTCAGTTGATTCTACGAGGCAAGTGCCTGATGAGTTCTTTGCGTCTCAATATTTCTTTTTATATTATTATTTTCTTGTCAGTTCTTGTCAATAATGGTTAATGATAAAAAATTTGGAATTTGGTATTTTGATCCGAACTCTCGTCTTTCCTCGTTCAATGAAATCTTCTTTTTAATTATTGAATCAAATTCTATGGTCCCATATTTGGCCGTTCCTAGGAGAAATGATTTACCAAAAAAAGATATAGAGAAAGATAAATGATAAATATAAAATACTATGAGATTCCAGCATCATGAAAATGCTTTTGTTCTGTGATATTTGGAACAGATAAGAGAGAGGAGTGCGAGAAAGGGAGAGAGAGTAGAGCGAGAGAGAGAGAGAGAGAGAGAGAGAGAGAGAGAGAGAGAGAGAGAGAGAGTGTATTGTTTAGTTTGTTTCTTGTGTTAGTTACTAGTCTTGTACTCTCGTCTCTCTTCTTTCTTCTCTACTACGTACGTGTACGTACGAGTACTAAGT